TCATTTTCACAAATTCATCAGGATCATTAATGATTACATTTTTTTCACGATGTTGATACTTGTATAAAACAGAAGAAAGTCTTTTTGTTTGGTTGTTAAAAAAATCAGAAAATTGCATGCCATCTAAAAATTAATTTATTTAATTAAATAAGTAATATTAAAATATTTAAAAAACAAAATAGGCATAATAAAATTAATTTTAAAAAACAAAAAAATAGTAATAAGATTAATTTATATAATTAATATTTTAATAATTCATTTAATTAGTATTTTAATAATTTATTTAATTAATATTGAATTAATATACCTTTAATATATTGATTTGATGGTCTAGTAATCTTTTCTAATTCTGCTTTTAATTCTATAATTTGATTTTGTAAACTAGTATTTGCTTCCAATTGGTTTTTTTATTTTATATGGCGCATCTTCAAATTTTATATCTATTATGTCTATCATATGCTATATGAGAATTATAGCATTTAGAACATATTCTTTCGCCTATATTTAATTCATAACCTACTAGTTCAGCTTTTTCTTTTCCTTGTTCTGAAATATTTCACCATTTAGAGTCATCTTTTTCTATTTTGCAAACAGAACAAAAACCAACAGGCATTTTAGTAATGACTTGTAAATCAAGAAATAAAAATTGTTACTTCGAATGGATCCAGGTGGATCCAGAAATATTGAAGTGAAAAGAGTATACTTGTAAAATTCGAAAGGTTGTTATTTAGTGTACTTGCGCCCACCTCATAAGTGTAACCCATTGTTTATTCTAAAACAATTGAAAAACAATCAACATAATATAAATAATATAAAAGGAATGTCCACCATGCTAGTGAATGCCGTAATTGATTTCTACTTTCTACCATCAAAATTGGAATAATTTTGACCATCGAAATCACCAAACCAATTTGGGTTGCATGTATACCCAGACCAGAAAAGGCTGCTGCCATGTTAGCCGAAAAGTTTCCTACAACGATCCTACCTCTAGGGTAAGTATGGCTCTGTGACCAAGTTGCAACTCTGTTGATGAATTATAGTGCTATGTAAACATATAGGTCTATTGAAGCAATAACTCGTTTCAAGCACAGGAGGTTGCAATTCGGAGCAGGGTTGGTGGCTGTAACAAACTTCGAAATAATATGTCACACAAATGGAAATTAATTTTATTACCATATTTGGTAAGAGGAATTCATATTTTTTTTATCGTTTACTTGGCAATCGGGATTTTTGGTGAAGAATTATATATTATTATTATCATTATTATTTTTATTAAGAAAAGTGGATATTATATTGTTATTTTATATTGTGGGGAACATAATCATATTATTATTTTTATTTATATTATTTATAATTAAGAAGTTATCTTTAAATTATGATCAATACTTTCCGGGAAGTCTATAAGCTTCCATACAATATATAGATTATATATTTATTTATTTTCTTATGATTTATATTTGTATTTTAAGAACTGTATTTTTATTATTTAAAGATGTAAAATTCAAACAAATAAAGATAGCTTTTATATAATTTTACAACAATAAAATTATCAGTTCATTAACAGTGTTAAATAAATTATCTAAACGTTTGTAAATAATTGTGATAATTATTTGAAGGTTTACAGTGGCCCTGAAATTGCATTTGGGCTTTGATGATAAGAGGAAAGTTCTAAAATGGGGCATGCTGCAACAAAACCAGACAAAGTGAACATTAGTGTTACCAAGGATTTCAGGGACCAAAATTTAGTAATGTGATTATTAAAATCTTCCATTTGTTATCCTCTTGATTATAGAATTACCTCTATATAAAAATAGTTAATATGAAACTCATTTATATCAGATCTACAATGGAACCAAAGAATTACAGCACCATTAGAAGTATTTTGAAGAAGGAACAAGGTGAAAAGATTGCTCCTTATATTTTTAAAATAAATGACACTCAAATACTGGAAGCTTATCTAAGTAAAGAAAGGATTACCTATGAAATTTACCAAGAAGAAAGAAAAATAATAAGTGTTGGAAAAAGAAAACATCATGATGATGCATTATTACCTAATAAAAAGCAAAAATGCTTAAAAGGAAAATAACTACCATTTTCTTTAATAGTCGGAATGAATTTCAATTTATACAGAGGAAAACAACCAAAAATTTCCTCAATTATTTTTTTATTTTCAATCAAGATCATCTTTTAGTCTCTTTAACCTCAATCTGTGCAGTTAGTTGACCATTCTGTTGATCTTTTAATTTCCTGTTTTCTTCTTCTAGTTTTTTAATTTTTTCTTCTAAACTTTTTATCTTATCTAATAACTCCTGTTTTTGCTTTTTACTTCACTCTTCAGATTTTTCCTGAAACTTGGCTACTTCTTCTCTTTCAATGTTTAACTCTTCTTTAGTGGTGGATAATTCTTTTTCTAGTTCTCTAGTCTTGTTTTCTAAACAGTAACTAAACGACCTAGACATCAAGTCTTCTTCAGAAACAAGTTGAGTTGATTTGTCTTTCTCTAAATGACAAAAACATCTCTTTCTATTTCTTTTTGTTCTACCACACTTTTCGCACCAAGGAAGAACATTACTATCAAAATCTTGTTTACATTCATTACAAATAAAAGCTGTGTCAGTATAATCACCAGTCTTTTTGTCTAATGCTACCATTTCGTGGGTAGCAAGAGCAGTATTTAAAGCGAGGTTATTCGGATCATCATAGTCTAAGTCACAAAAATCACATTGTCATTCATGACCATTGGCTAGTTCTAATACTCTATACTCTAATTTCATAAATATTATTTGTCTTTTTGAACAATAAAAGCTTGAAACTTCTCTTGAGTTCTATTCTTTGTTCGATTCAACCCACTAAACATTTGCTTAAACTTATATTGCCCTCAATTTTTGCTTTCTTTGAGATTCTTGATTTGACTGTTCTTGATTGTTAGAATATTTTCCAACTTTTTTACTTGTTGCCAAAGGTTACGCCTTTCTTTGTCGTGTCTATCTTTCATTTCATCAACCTGTCTTGCTCTTCATATGCTTGCTGTTTTCAAAGCCTTTTCTGCTTCTTCACGTTCCATTTGAACCTCCTCCTTTGACTCTTCTAGTTTAGTTTCTAATTCCTTATTCTTTACTTCCAATTGCTTATTTTTTTCAAGCAATTCATTTCTCTCTTGCTCTAAACTAGTTGTTAAGAATTGTAAACTTTTAACTTCTTTGTCAACTTTTACGTATGAATCAAGTGCATTCTTATGCAAGTAAATAAGACGAACAAAACTTTCTCTGAATTTTTTGTCTTCTAAATTTTGTAATGCATAAGGGTGAAGTCAAAAGTAATCTGTAACTGCTCTTATCTCTGCCTCACTTGGATTTTGGTTTAAATTACCAATTAGTTCTCTTATTTCCTCTTCAGTTAAAATATTGTTTTGGTTTGTCATGATTTTACTTTTTTTTTTTTTATTCTTTTAATATACTTATATCCTTTTTATGGGCATATTAAGTATATAAATTATTTTAGTGCTTTTTTACTTTAAGAAATACCCTAATGAAACAAAGAGGAAATCGCATAGTGCTCTGGCTATTGAACTGGAAGTGTTGATAAAATATTTAAGACCAAAGACAAGAAAGGGTCGGAAAGTGTTGGATCTAAAACGTAAATTGGTTAGTATTTTACACGTTCTCAGTAATGTAGAATACTAACGAGCATAGTGAGTATGCTATACCCTGTATTCTGCGGCTACGGGGTGAAAACGTCTAGCCAGAATGTTTCACATCCGCTAAGACGTGCATACTTTCTATGAGGTTCTTTGATTAAGGTCTGCTGATTATGGAGAAGGAATTGGCTATGTGCCTTCCTTATGATGAAGGATCTTACTCATAACTCCTTATATTTTATTACAGAAATCTGGAAAAAAAGATGGTGAAAGAGAAAACATAACTCATACTTCTTTTCCTCCTACTTCTGCTAAAAAAAGTAATATTGATGAAAAAGATAATCCAAAGAAGAGGCTTAAGCCAGATCATGAAGCTTCTACAGGTGTGTTCTAGTTTCATTTCTTGTATTTGTATTGATACTGATTTTCTCAGATCACACCCCATTTATGCTTTTTTTGATTTTTTACAATTCTCAGAGGTCTCTTTGACAAAAATCATTCATAATATATTACCAGACCTGGTCTATCTTCAGTTGAGACATTATAAATCAGATTCAAGCACCATATCTGTTGAACAACGGTTTCCTGATAGGATTTCAAACTGGGTAGGGTTCAAAGAAGAGGTGCGATCATGGCAGTCAGAGTACATCAATAAGCGATACAAAAAACCAGTATTTGGATCACGTACTATTACATGTGAAAAAGATATATGAGTGGCAATTGAAATAGTTTTATTTATTTCAGAATGAAGTGAGGAATATGCTAACAGATAGCTTTGGTTTAATTGATTAAATAATGTGGATTTTTATATAGGTCGAAACCTTTTGTTTATTAACAAATCAAACCTAAAATCTAAGATCGAAATCTAAATCAAAAATTTCTAAAACCTAAAACTTCCAAAAAAATCTTCCCTTCAAAAAAAATCCAAATCTCATCTCTTTTATACATGTTAATTACTTATATACTGCTTAAGCACGATTTCAAGTTCAAACAGTATGTTTCATGTTAACCCTGATTCCTGTTTATGCTTGATTTCAAGTTTAAACATGAAATCGTGTTTAAACCGTATTCTAACCAAATAAGTACATGGAATGATCATAATAAATAAATATAAAAATAAACAATATAAATAAATAAAATAAATAAATTGAATTGCATAATGAATCACGTTATTCTGTTAACATTAGCTTTTTTGTTGCTATTTAATCCTTTCCTTCTGTGAATACCTGCTCCATTAAATATTCATGATGATTATTATGATTATTAAATACATTTGATGTTGTCATTGACATAACAAAAAATTGCATCACCCAAATAATAAATAATACCAAGACCATGCAGAAATGAAACTTTTTAAGTCTAAACAATAAATGTGTGTCTACCCAGATCTCTGGGGTTCACAAAATAAATTATTTTTTCTGATTATCAATTATGGTTCCTTATGAATAATAAATCTGATGTTGATCACAGGGGTCAGATTTAATTGAAATTTTCCTGTCACAAACATACAAATTAGTGCTTTCACACACCCTCATAATTGTGAAATTTCTCCCATAAGTGAAGGCCATCCATACGTCAGAAGGCTTTGGACAAAACTTTCCCTTATCTTCCTCTCAGACCAAGCTTGTCTGTTTCCATATGGACATTGATAACTGATGAGGATCAGCATTTGTGTGATGATTGCTTTGTGTTATACCTCTTTAGAATAAAGTCAGTGTCTGCAACTGGTTCAAAATTCTCTGATGCAGGAGGGTTGTTGTTTGGATTCAAGTTTTGAGTCCTCTTGTTGGTGGCATGCCAATTCACCAACAAACCTACCCTAATTTAAATAACAAATTCAGTTGGTCAAATAAAAATTGAAGAGAAACAGTGAATTTATGGGAATGATTAATTTATAGCATAACATACCAAAATCCAAACCATTTTATGACTTTTTTCTTGTTGGCCATATTGCTGACAAAGATGTATAATGATTTTAATCTATAGGACAGGGGACTGATTGGGCAAAACCCTGTTCAGTCCCCTATCCAAAATTATAAATTGGTTAGTATTAAAGAAACAGAGAATTTAGGAAAATAATTATACAAAACAAACACTATTTTGCAGCTTTCCTTCTAACTCAGAGCCCAAATGCAATTTCGGGGCCACAAACCCTGCTCTGAATTGTAAATTACCTCCCTGTGCTTGAAACGAGTTGCAGATTCTCGTTGCTTTGATGTTTACATGGCACTACAATTCATCAACAGAGTTGCAACTTGATCACAGATCCATCCTTACCCTAGAAGTAGGATCGTTGCAGGCAACTTTTTGTCTAACATGGCAGCAGATTTCTCTGGTCTGGGCTGTGAGGGAAGATTAGTAAAAGTGTCATTGACAATTGATGCAGTCTTGGTAAACTCCAGGGCCTTACGCCCCCCCTGGAATTTAACAGCATCATTTATCCTTGAAGGCCTTGCAGTCAGATTAGCCTTGTGTACACAAGGAAGATGAGAGAATGACTGTAATGTTCAAGGTAGCATGTGTGCTTCAACGCCTGCCAATTTCCTGTAATCAAACATTGCTGCCTTGACATGTAATTATTTATTATTATTTAATATTAATATTGATAACAATTATGAAAAGCAAAATACACAATCTTGATAAGAATCTTATACTTACCCAGCAATGATCTGCTCCACATTTTGATTCCAAAAAAAAACAACGCAAATAAAAAATAGTGCCTCTGTTATTAACACGTCTTCTTTAGAGACTCACATTTTGTCATCTTGGACTCAAATAAATTTTTCCAAAAAAAAAAAAAAAAAAATCAATTCGCGTAAAAAAATCTTGTGCAACACCAAGGCCAATAATAATGTTAATTATTATTTATTTTTTTTTAAAAAATAAAAAACAAAATGTTTTCTGTCACCAACAAAAAAAGAAGAAGCAAACGTGAAAATGAGCTGGTAAAAAAAGGGTAAGTGTTTTAAGAATGATGGTGATTGTGGTAGTTGCGATCATTGTAACTTGAAAATGGTTGCTACATGCAACTTGTTACTTTTGTCACCAACTTGTCAATCTAGTTTACTGATTAAAAAAATTTTTGTTCTATTTTTAGTTCTACCATTACAAACAAGATCGTAAGTAAATTACAGCTTTTTGAACATACAAGTCTCAATCTTTTTAAATGAAATTGCAAGTTAATTTGTTTATTTGTAATGGATATATATATTTAGAATACATTTAAAAATCTGTTGGAAACTACCCTCGATATTATTGAAGATAATAAAAATAATATTGATGTTATTTTTGAGGAAGAGCAAGAAAACATTAATATTACTCAGGATTATTTAAACTCACTTAACAATAAAATAAATAATTATAATGATGATGATGGTTCTGTTATGGTTATGGACGAAGAAATAGGTGATATATCAAATGTTAATGTGGAATTTGAAGAAATGACGCAGCATTCAGCAGAAGATTCACAACAAAGATTAATTGGGAAAAATAGAAAAGGAAAAGAAAACTCGTTGTGAAACTTATATCTATTACAATATCTATTTACGTAAAGTATTAAATAAGGTATATTATTCACTAATATCTATATATTTATTCACTATTTAATCAAAAGATTAATCGATATTTATAATTTCAAGGTTCATCCTAACATTGATGTTTCTCACAAATCCATGTTAATATTAAATGACTTCATCAATGATATGTTTGAGAAAATATCCAGTGAAGCTTCAAAACTTGCAGCCTACAATAAACGATCAACAATCACTTCACATGATATACAATATGCAATTAAGTTAATTTTACCTGGTGAGCTGGCTAGGAATGCAATATTTGAAGGAGTGAAAGCTGTTGATAGATATAACATTTGCAATTCAAGTTATATTTTATAAAAAAAAAAATTCCATGGTGCAATACTTTTAGAACATATTGGAAATGACATTAATGATATAAAATTACTATATTACATCTGTAATACATAACAATAATAATATTATTATATATTTTATTCAATTTTTATTAAATATTAATTAATCTTGCACATAATCTTTGTCTATAAGAAAAGACCATTTGATATATAATTAATTTTATTAAATATCTAGAGAAGATAATTTAGACGTCAGCACAATGGTTCTGTTGCATAATGGTAATATTAACCCCCCCCATGATTTTCTTGTTATGTTAATGTTCACTTTGTCCGGTTTTGTTGCAGCATGCCCCATATATTACATTTAATATGAAATAAATAAATAAATCTATTCATACATAATTGATACTAAATCAAAAAACTAACCATCATATTTAGTAGTATCTTGATACTGGTGTTTGTAAATTTTCATATTTACATTATGGTTTAATGCGCTATCTTTTTTTATAAGGATAACTGCAAAAATGCCTTTAATACTCAATTGATAGAAGATATCTTTAAGTTGTTCTTCATGGGTTATGTTAATTGTATTAATGAAGAATTTTGCTTTGTAAAAAGCATTCACCACTTGAAATAAAAATTTTCTAAATTATAATTAACAAATTTACAATGATTAATTATATTATGATAAATTTCAAATAAAAAAAAATAAAAAGATTTCTTACTGACTCCTCAACTTCACGAAGCAAAATTATTTGGATTTTATCAAATTGGTGTTTAAGTAATAATGATTTACCATCAGATATAGAAGTTGGTTGCGTTTGTAACAATTGTTTTCTTTTAAAAAATTTTGAAAGTGAAACTGAGAGCTCTTCAAGAAGTAAATTTTTAATTATTTGATCAGATGATGTTGAAATATTTTGTAACCATTCTCCAAAGAGCTTGAGAGACTTGGAATTGTCTTCATTGTGGTCTTCAATACAAGTGTGCAATGCTTTCACACCTCTACCTTTTTGTTGGTAATTGTGTCCCCCTTCGGATTCAAAACATAATGTGCAGATATATCGTGGATATGTTTCATTTGTTGAACCACAAAAATATTTTCGACAAAAACTGGACAAACTTTTAAACCACAACATGGTACATGAACATTTCGTTCTAAAACGCTCTTAGAATGTTGTGTACATCCATCTCCTCTACTATAATAAAATTTATCATAATTACAAAACAAACAACGTCTTTTATATATCCATGCGTCATGAGTAGGAACACTGTTTTTTAAATGTGATAAATGATTTTTATTATCAAAACTGTAGTGACTTGAGCATGTACCCAATAGAGCTGTCGCATCTGGTTGGTTCACTTTGATGGCTTTATTAACCTCATCAAAATCTAATTCCCAGATACCCAAAAGTTGACGAAGAGGACGAAATATAGTATTTTTACAACGTTGTAACTTTCCATTCACAAGATCAACAATTACACATCTATCATTATCATCAATAGTCTTTTTTTCTTCACTTAACATATGGACAGAATCTTCAAACTCGTCAATGGTTGAAGCCCACAAAGAACCCACATCAGATTGCACATCAAAATCTGATGATAACCAATCTATATCATTATCATCTTTTCTATCTAAAAATTCTTCAGAATTTTCAATAAATTTTTTTACATTGCTTAATGACTCCTCATTAAAATCAATACAATAGCTATTTTGATCAGTATTTATCAAAGAAGTTGTTGTTGATGATGTGGGTATAGAAAAATTATCTGTATAAGTGTCATCATCAAGGGTTTCATATTCTTTATCAGGATCATTGTAACCCACTTCCATACACATATATTTGTTATTGTTATTGCTATTATTATTCATTCTAAATATTTGTACAAAACATATAACATTAAATAATTAAATTATGTCTATGGATTTGTCAGTTTTATAATAAGTGAATTTAATATTAATATAATACATTAAATTTAACCAATTCCGATTCTTTCAATTCTTTGACGTTTTACTATTCTATAAAGTTCGTTCTTTTAATTGAATGTACAATAATAAGTAATCGTGAGTGTGTGAAGAAGATTTTAAAAAAAATTTACGTAGCACAAGAAATTGTATTTTGACAAAATTGAAAACATCGGCTATAGTCTCATGAACCTCTATGATCTTGCATTTTCTGAAAAAAATAACTTTACAATAATAAAATTCAAGTTATAAAACTATAGGTTTGATATAGTTTAAATAATGGATTACCTAACTAAAAGAATGGATTTTGTAGAAAATAAAGAAAAAAAAAAGTGAAAATCTTAATAAATTTAATATTTTTATTTAACATCTAATGTTATTTTATAGGTAGTACATAAAAATTAAGGACAAAATTTTAATTTTAATTTTTGGTTAAGATAAACCTAATCGCTGTCAGTGTTGCCTTTTTAAATCATTTTTTATCGTTATCGGTTCAGGTAATTCGGACATTTTCCGAACAGGCAAAACCTTTATCCATTTGTCATCATGGATAAAGGTTTTGCCTGTA